AAAGGTTCGACTCCTGGAGGCGTGCTTGTGGTAACAAAAATGTCCAGAGAACGGCGAATTTGAAAAAACTTTATCTCGTAAAGAAGTTCCAATTCACTGTCATCGGGATGATCAGGTGCCTTATCAGAAGGTCTAAGATGATTCACAAAAAATCTGAAATTTCAAAATTATATTTTAGGAACTCTAAAGTGTCTTTTACTGAGCAGCATAACTTAACGCGGTGGTTCAAGTAACCGAGCGTAAGGAATTTTCCCCTCATTCAAATGCAACGAAAAACTGGCCGCCTCGGTTTTTAGATCCCACTGCTGCAGGCATTTCTTTCTGTTTATGAATGAGACCACCTCATAATTCCTCAGCTATCATCGAGCGCGCGATCAAACTGACCATAATCTACAATAATCTACAAAACTATGTGCCAAAGAGAAAAAATCGTCTGACTGAGACTTTTCTAGATGTCGGTAGATTCGCTAGATTTTTCTTTCCTGCCCAAAATACTTCCCGATACGTTTTATCAGAACTTTTATCGCTAGCTGCTCAATCATACCTTAGAATTTCTCCTTGTTTGTCGATAAAACCTGACATTCTAAATTTGGAATGAGGAAACTCTCCTTGCGCAATTTCTTTATATAACCCTGGTAGCATCATGGGAATGCTATCGGGCTCGTGCAATCACTCGGCCATTAAAAATTTTCTATACTAATGAATTCATTATAAGAAAAATAGCGGGGAAATGTAACGTCCAGTAACACATTCTGATAGACAACTTGGTGACTTAGTAGTCTCCTCGCAGCCGTTCTTAGTTGCGGGCTCTCTGTCCCCTCCCTGTCCCCTTCTCCTACTAAAGGCCGATTTAGACGGCACAACTTTTGCCTAAAATCATCGCATGCAACCTGCGTGAGTCATCCTTACAACATGGCTACAACCGTCGTAGGGATTTAAAAACAATTGCTTAATAGCCCTACAACAGTTGTAGCCATGTTGTAAGGATGACTCACGCATGTTATGCGATGGTTGTAGGCAAAAGTTGCGCCGTCTAAGTCGGGCTTGAGTCACCAAAACATACGGAAAAGGGTCGTATGAAAGAGGTTACGGCTGTATTCCTGTATAAATTAGAGAAGCTATAGTCGCCATCAAGTGCTGAATCTCTTCGTTTATGTAGAATATGTAAAGGAGTTTCTTATTACTTTTGGCTTCTGCCTGCGCATATGAGCATGTGTTCAAATAAAAACAATCAAGTTCCAGACAAATATGACAAACGAGCAACGGTCGCTAAATTAAGGAAAAGCCACCGAATAATCTCTTATTGAATGTTATTCAAGATGTGATCTATTTCCAAAGAAAAATATATCAACAAAATCGCTAATCTCCGTATATTTAACACGTATCGGATTTCAGATTCACTWTGGCTTTTACATTGAGTTTAA